ATACACCTACGAGAATTCTGTGTATATGCATACACTTAGAATTCATTCCCCTTGTAGATTTCTTCTTCCTCTGCAGAAAATAAACCCTGCAGGAGGGGCATGAAATTATGCCTTTTGCCCACCAGGGGCTGTTATAGCACCAGAATAGGTAGCTGGGCTCACTGGTCATAGCAACAAGCAGCAGGTAGGGAGGCAGAGAGACTGTGTTCCTCACAGTGCCATTACAGTGGGGCCAGATGAGGAGATACTGGACATGGGAGAATAAAGAAGAGAGTGGGAACCATACGACTGCTGGGGAATACTAAGGATCCACTTTATTATTTTTTCTATTCAAGATTTAAAGTAACTGAGGAAATGGATTGTGGTGTATATACTTCCTTTTCATATATGTCCAGATACCACCACTGGCAAAATCACCCAGTCACTGGCAGAAAGTATGATCTCAATTATACTTAGTTTTCAATTTTGGAAGTTTGTCACCAAATAATTATATATGAATAAGTTTTCAATTATTTAGTCAGTTGGCTAGAAATCAATGCGATAAAAATGGAAGTGACGTTACTGTCAAGGATTACAATGAAATGCCAGCTTAAATCTTTAACTGCTTTATTAGTTTAAGTCTGCCAACTGCTGTAGTTCACAAGCTTGTGGTATAGCAAAGATTTATTGCTCTGGGATTACCAAAATTGTTTCAGTTAGAATAGCACTTTTCCCCCCTCAACCATGGCTGAGCAGGACTGCATCTCTCCTTCAGATATAACTTACCTTGTTCATCTATTCTTTTCTAATTACTTGATTGGAAAATAGCAATAGGTTTTATCCAAGACTATGAAAGGAACACAGAAGTTTGAGAAAGTCCTAAATGCAACTTCCCGCTACCTTCTGTGTGGGGCAAGCAACCAATGAGAGCATATTTATCATCCACTCTGCACCGGCTGCTAATCCACTAGTGGATAGAAATTCAAGTTATTTAACACTAGCAACAAAAAAAAAAAAAAATCATTGTCTAGGCTTAGGTTATTTTAACAGGAATTCACCCTTTACAGAAATTTGCTCAAATGCAAACCCGTATATTTTTAGAACGAGCCAAAATAAAATTCTGTCTTTCAAGAATGAATTTTTCAAGACCAAGCTGTAGATCTTTTTTCTAGATCACTACACTTTTGGGTTGTGTCAGAAGGATGGAAACCCACATGTAAATAGTAAGGAATATATTTACCTTTAAACAATTATGTATATCTATTAAATTATTTTTGCATCCTAGGCTAGGATGTGAAACAAATGCAAGCAATAATAATCATTTCCTGATGCTACTTGCTCACAAGGGGGCAGTATTTATTTACTGTTATATTTTGTTGCAGATATGCATGGTAACCTCACTAGTAGTAATGTCAAAACATTATGCAAATTTGGTTAAGAATCTAAGAAACTTAGTTTTTACTGTTCAGACAGCTGAAAATATTAGTTATTCTTATAAATTTGTTTAAGCTAATCTCCTTGTGACACAGTCTTCTTAATTTTCAAAGAGAATGACTTAAGAGAATTGGTATCCACATGTGTAGCTGCACATATGAGCCACAGATATCCGCATCCATATCTGCGGATGAAGATACCTGGGGATATAAAACAGATATCTGCAGGGCTCTAAGAATGAAGTACACATTAAAAAAAAAACCCTCAGTTTTAAGTAATTTTCTTCTTTAGAAGAAACAATATTTTTATATGGTCAAACTACATACAATACATAAGTCATTGAAATAATTAATATTTTTGACATGTACAAGATTTGCGTGACCAACAATATCATATGACAGAATAAGTACCTTCTTCATCTTCCCACTCTAGATCTAGTGAAGTGCTATCATCATTTCCACTTGTTGATTTTGTTTTAGTCATTAAGTCACAGCTGCTCTCAGTGTTTGGTGTCAAAATAGTAGCATCAGATGACAGTCCTACATCAAGAAAGTAGCTTTAATTCATACATGTTTGATTTCCAGATTTAATAGCCAAAACTATCACATGTCCATAGCAACTTTTTCTTAGAAACCATGCACTTTGCAAACCTACTAAAATTAAGCCTCAGCATCACTATCTGACAAATCACCAATTTAATTAAATGTATCCTCTGTTGGGAGAGCATACAGCAGATTTTTAACAATTTACAACATTAAACAATTAAGGTAGGACAGTGAAGAACACTGTATCCAATTAAAATTACACAGGGATTTAGACCTAGAATGCAGTTACGCAAGCTGGAATCTGGCCAGCATTAAAACAAGAGTTCTACAGGATCCTTAATTACAAGCAGCCAGATACTCTTTTTTTTTTTTTTTTTAAACACACACTTCAGACACTGTGCTTCCAACAATGCAGACCCTATTAATAAGATAATGGGGCATTGGGTCAGAACTGATTCAAGGGTGAGAGTAAATTAAAACACATACAGCAGTGGCTTTCAATCTTTTTTCATTTGCAGACTCCTAAAAAACCTAGAATGGAGGAGCCGACCCTCTGGAAATCTTAGTCTGTGGACCTCCAGGAATCTATTGGTAACAGGTTGAAAGCCACTGACATACAGCACCTTCTCCTACAACGCCTAGGTGTTTTCTGGATGCGTCTGTGGAACACTGCTGCTTCAATTCCTGGAAAACCCTGAATATGCAGTAGAAGTCAGCCTGAGAAGCTCAGTTTTAAAAGCAAATGAGTTTTGAATTAGCACTCAGATTAAACAATGTGAGCGCAGGGTACAGCATAGGCACCTCTCTGATAGGTATATGAAGTACATCTCCAGATGTCTCCAGACCTCACAAATACAAGCAGAATAGTTTGTCTCATAGAAGTAGAAACCCAAACATGAGAAATCCAGATTTTGATTTGGAGAAGGATATTGAACACACTTTGCTCTACAGTTATTTATAGAAAATCTAATTTTAAAATGCATTATGAAAATTACTTACTACTGCTTCGAAAAGCTTCATATTGGAGTTTTATATTTCTCAAGTAAGAATCAAAATCCTCCTCTGCCACTGAGCTATAAAGAAAACATTTTGCTTATTATACCCAGACTTATCAGTGATAATACCTAGCATTTACTTTTTTTAAGCATATCTATAAGTCCACCATTTTAAAATCTGAATAAATAATATCTTTCAATAGGTACTCAACTCACTTGGGAATTTTACAGACCAGTGTATATGGCACCTCTTGTTAGCTGTAAGAAATATCTGCACACACAGTTTCAGCTACTATCTTTATACAGATGACTTGCGAATTTATATTTCAATTCCACATTCGTCATCTCCTTTCCAATCCTGCATCTCTGCTTTTTAACATCTCCTTTGATAACTTGCAAGTAACTTCACAAGGCTAAAACTGGACTCCCTTAATCTTCCTCCCAAACCTACTTCTCTTTCTTTATTCTTATCCAACCATCTTGTTCATCTGTCACTCAGATCCATAACCTAGGAGTTTATCTTTGACTCCTCCCTCTTTTATTTACCTTATACATCAAGTATCCAAATATTAATTTTCTTCCTCCATGGTATTTCCAAAATCCCCCGATCACACCCCAGGCAGGTAAAACTAACTCAAGCCCTCTGCATCATTAATTGCAATTACTGCAACCTTCTTCTTCTCTGGTCTCCCTAACAAGTACACAATTCCCCTCTGACTCATTCAAAATGTGTCTGCTTGGCTCTCATTTTCTTATTGGCTCCAAATATTTATTTCTTTGATTCCCTCCCACTGCCACCTCTCTCTATACTAGCATTAATAAAATTCATGAGTTTACTTTCACTAACAAAATGTTTTGCAACAGCAGAAAGCACAAAGCTCTGACACCATTCTATTACATGTCTGATTAATTTATTCATAAATGCAGATTTCAAACTTATCATGAAAGACATGAGATGAAGAGGTAACTCAAGTAACTCTGAACCAGAATTATTCCAGTAACCCCATCAGATACTATATTAAGCATAAGTATGACAACGACCATATGCAAGAATGGCTACTTTTTGGATGTGAGGGGAAAACAAAATGTTCCAAATATCCCTTAATTGAAAGAGACCTTGAAGTTCTAGACAAGAGTGCAAACGACATGTTTGGAAAATGGGAGAGAATACACCCTCAGATGCTGAAACTCACTCCCCTTTTACTAAACATTAATAAAACAACAGTTCTTGTTTTTCACATCTTACCTTTGATATTCTCCATTATTAACCTCTTGTGCTTGCTGCACTATCCTCTGTAGTCTATGTTGCTACCAAAGAAAGCGTAAGTTGTTATATATCAGGAATTTTCAAGAATCACTCAGAAGAAACACACTTAATACCCTTTGTATCATTTATAAATATTAACAAGTTTCAACCTTTGTGGGGTCAATTGACTCCCTGTTGTGAAACCTAAAAATGTCATCCCAGCTGCTCCAATTTAGAATGTGGATATTAGGGTCTAGTCAACTAACCAATAAGCATGAATTTATCAAGTAGCACTATCATCTAGTCGATTCCCCCTAGCTGCTGCTCTGCATTGTAAAGCCCAGGGAACCTGGCTCGCAAAGGTGCTAACTCGGCCCCTGCTCCGTGGGTCTCTTGCTGTGAATCTGGCATGAGCCAGACTGAACGCCACAGCTGCCTACCCCTGTTGACTAACTGGATAGTCAACAGAAAATCTATCAACTATTCGACTGGGGAAGTAATCACATTTTAACATCCCTAATTTAAAGCTGCCACAATATCAGCTGGGAAAGAGACAGGACTTTGATTCTACTAATACAGCTCCTTAAACAGGTCAAATGCTTGTCAGATACTAATAATTTTTTCTTCCTAATCTTGGCGGATGAGTAGATTCTCTGCATTGTAGTACTTGCCTTTCTAAATGAAAGAGAAACAGCATTCTAACTTTAACTGATTTTGCATACAAAAATTAGATCATGAGGCACCACCCTGTTTGCAAACATGAAAACAGGAGTATTTATTCACCATAGCATCTCTCCTTCTCAATATAGTATATCTCAGCTGCTTTTAGAAAGTACTAAGAACAGAATAAAACATCCAAATCATGTGATCAATAGAAAACATCTTTAATCTGACAATCAAGAAAAATCTAAAGTTTAAGGAAGCAGTTTTATTTCCTCACATTACTCAAATACAAAGCAATATTCCCACATAATTTGTATTTTTATATACCAGGATAAAGTGTTTGATTTGTATGAACAAAAGCTTTACTCCTTGACATGACAAACATTTACTGATTCTTCTAAATTCTTCAGTTCAAAGCCTTTTTTGTATCCTTATGTTTACACAAACTGAGATTATGAGATACAACCCAATAGTAGAGTTAAGATGCGTATCTTATGGGCACAGGATTTCATTAATTTCTGAACAATTTTTATTTAAGATGACTAACACCTGATCTCCCTCCCTGCAATCTCAGATAAAAATAGTGGATAAAAATGTAAGGCCTACACAATACCTACTGATCAGTTTATTACCTTTTTTAAGGAAATAAAACTTCATTTTGATTACATGGAATGCTGTAACTTTTGTAGCTAGAGCCCAGGCATGTTGTAGTAAGCATCCTCTCAGATATATAAATGAGAGAAAAAACTAATGTAAGTAAAATGAAAGATTACTTCAAGCACCTTATAATGGCTGTAATAGAGCTCCTTCTGAAAGGCTGAATGGGTTTAGTGAAAATTTTAATACAATACTCCAAGTAGGGATGTAAGCGACTAGTTGATCTGATAAGCAAATGTTTATTGCATAGCTGACTCGACTAGTCATTTCCCCCCACCTTGCTGCCTCTATAAGAGAGGCAGGGAGTGGGGGGGGGAGGGGAGGGAGAGCAGGAGCCAGTGCTGGGGGGAACCAGTAAAGCTGGTTCCCCCAGCACCATCTCGGGGGCGGGGGGTGAGAGAGGGAGGCAGAGACAGTGGGAAATGGCATGAGCGGGGACTGCTTCAGTCCCCCCTCGCGCCAGTTCCCATTGTGGGCATTTCTGCTTTCAAAAGCAGAAGTGCTACAGGGAGCACTGGGCGAGCAGGAACTCAAGCAGTCCCTACTCACTTTGCAGCGCTCCCCCCCTTGCTGCCTCTTTGAGAGGCAGCAAGGAGGTGGGGGGAGGGGAAGGAGGCCAGGTGTCAGTGCTGGGAGGACAACAGTGGCTTCAGGGTGCCACCCTCCCCCCTGCTGCCTCTAATAGAGGGGGGATAGGGGACGCTGCTGTGAAGCAGCCCATCGCAGGGGACCCAGAGGGGAACTGGGATCCCCTGTGAACAGGGGTTGTTGCCGCTAAGCAACTCCTGTTCTCCACCATGAACAGGGGCTGCTGGACTCCACGCGAGTTGGACCAAGCAGTCCTGGCTAGCGCTGATCATTGTGCCTCTGCATTTTAAATGCAGGAGCCCAGTGGCTCTTGCTACATTTAAAATGCAGAGTCCAACACAGGTGGCTCCGAAACCGGGATGAGTCAGCACTGCTCAGTCCCGGCTCGAGTTGGCTCCTGGAGCTGCCCCTGCTGCAGAGGTACTTATCGAGTAATTATATAGTCAATACAAATTCTATTGACTATATGATTAGCCAGATAACCGCATTTTAACAGCCTTAACTCCAAGATGACAATGCGTTTTCTTGGCACAAAAGTGTTTTCCCACTGTGGAGTATTTGGCAAGTAACATATTAGCACAACTAGATTTTGAATGTGCAGTTACAAAGAAAGCAAAACACATTTCTTATTAATACTTGGTTGATGAGAGAAGATGGATTGGAGGTAAGAAAAAGATAACCCTCTACTAACTAGGGATGTAAAAGAGTGGTCGAATGGTCAACTACCTGATAATCCTAGGCTTATCATGTAGTCGAGTTGACTACTTGTATTTCCTGCCCCCTCCCCCACTAGCTGCCTCTATATCAGAGCAAACAAAGAAGTGGGGAAGGGGAGAAGCAGGTGCTGGGGGGAACTGGCTTAAAAGCCTGTTGTCCCCCCAGCACCATCTCCGCAGTGTGGGGATGGAGGGGGGACCGACAGGGGACATAGAGGAGCAACAGGGAACCCATTGCAAGCGGGGACTGAAGCAGCTCCCAGCTTTTTCTGGGTCCCAACTGCTGCACCTCTGCATCTGAAATATAACAAGAGCCTGCAGAGAGGGTGCTGGGGAGAAACCAACTGATATAGAGGCAGCAATGAGGGGGAGAAATGAGAGTAGACGACTCGACTACCCAATTAGCCTAGGCTGCGGGCAGCTCTTACTACATTTCCAAGGCAGAGGCGCAGCAGGGATAGTGTAGCCTTGTAATTTTGTAGATAATAAGTAAGTTAGTTATAATGAATGTATGTTACAGCATAAGATTTGGATTAAATTTAAACACAAGATGTAGGCCTCAGATAGCTTTGTTAACTTAGCTCCAGATCTGTTTGATGTTAGCATGATATGAAGATGAAATGAAGGGATGGAATATTGTAATGCATAGTGATGTCAGTATAGACAAAGCCTTGTAATAGAAAGAAAGAAGTTTAATGCTGAAAGACTTTGTAAGTTTGTTAAAGTTTGACAAGAAGCACCCTTTGTTCCATGCTGCAATTATGTCAATGTATCGTTTGTGTGAATGAGCGAGAGAATGTTTTAGGAGAAAGAAGTGTGAAGGCCACTGCATGCCCAAATAGTCAGAGGAGGGGCTGGAGACTCAGAAGCACCAAATAATTATCAACTAAGCTAAAGCACATTGAAGATGCAAACTGGACTGAGGCAGATTGATGAACCCTGACGTTAGTGTCAAGTACCTCTTTATAGGTAACCGATACCAACTTTTGCCGGAAGACAACACCCCCTATGGGTCGTCAGCATACGGATATCAAATGACTGCGAGAACAACTTCCAGATAAACCTATGTCGCAGAAAAACTGATTGTGATGCTGAGTGATTGATTAAGGCACGACAATGCAAAATGCATAGACTCACATGGAAGGAAAATCCTATAAAGGATGGAGTGTCTTCTATGGTTCTTTGGGTTCTGTCCTGCTAAGACTGCAGAGTATGAGTCCGGACTGACAAGAACCCGGCTCCTTCCTCACATCCAACCTATCTGGCCAATAGGTTGTGCCAAGCAACAGACTGGTAACTATTCCATCAGCAGGGCAAGCGTGTGCGTGATCATGTTACTTTGTTATAATATCAATAAATGCAGCATTTTGCCTTATCCCCCTGAAAAAGATCCTCTGTGCTTCTTTTAAGCATAACAATAGCGAACACCCTTCTACCCCCCTTATCAACTAGTCGATGGAAATTCCATCGACTACACGATTAGCTTATTAATTTAAATTTAACATCCCCACTACCAACAATATATAATAAGCAAAGCTGGCTATTTGGATTTTGTTGCATGAAGTAGATCTCTCTTTAAACATTCAATTAATTATAGAGGGCAAGTTCCAGAAAATACTACTATTGCAAAATTATAGTTTTGCTTATGCAGAACTTGATTGTCACCCATTCTCACATTTAGTATCTTGGAATGTATTTCTATTGGAAAAACTCTACAAGGTTTACTTAACAGAAGCAACAGTGGTCAAATCAGGTTCACAGATTGCCGTATTTCCAATTTTTCCTCTGTTTGTTGAATTAACAGAAATATAACTGGATTGTGAGTTTTACATAACTGAATTCTAGTATATCTGCAGCATGGCAGAACTTGAAGTGATATCCCTGAAGTGTACTTTTAAGGTTAAAACACGATTAGAACTGTATTATTTCCTTTTAAATATAGTCAGTGACTGTATGTTTTACATTTTTTTTTTCGTAGTGTCTTTTGGAAGAGTAGCTGATTTCCTCCCCATCACCACTCCCTGTTAATTAATATCACAACCTCTTTTTCAACAAGGTAATCTGTTTAAAAACAACAAGGTACACTATAGATGTCCTAGGACCTGGGTAAGAAAGACTACTTTTAAGAACATGGCATTAGGAAGGGTTTCTCCCCAAGAATTTTTGTAACCCTATGCATAGAACAAATTACTGATAATGACACCTTTACAAAGACCAAAGACAGAAAAATTAAAAAAAGCAGAAGAGGTGAGAAAAAATCATTGAGAAAGATCAGAAAACATAGTAACAAGAAAGGAAAAAGAAATACAAAATGGAAAGATATCTTATAACTATTTGGGAACATTTGATCCTGGAAAAAAATTAAATCTCATATTTACCTTCAATTTTCCTATGCTTTGTGAGCTGGACATAATGGTCATGTTAGATCATTGAGTAAGGTAGAATACATTAATTTTAAAATTGCTTCTCACTTAATGCCCTGTTAACTGTAGGGATTGATTTTTCATGTGGGTTCTGCTTTCTTCAGTGACTATAGGTTTTTAAAACTGTCTAATCAACCTGTACACTGTGTAGGGGAAGTTTTGTTTGGTTGGACATACCACTGTCACAAACAGGATTTAAAGGATGATGGAAAAAATCCAATTCTAGCTGTTCTTTTATATTTGTGGCCACTTCAATTAGAAAATATACACTTACTATCTTCTAGGCAATAAATGCAGGACACAAGTACTAACAATTAGAGGATAATATACAGTAAGATTATTATTCATATAGCCACATTTACATGAAGAAATCAAAGTGGTAAGTAAGTTTTAAGAAGACAGATCAGCAACTGTCTACTGGATAAACAGAAAACAAAAAGCCCATTTAAAAAAAAAAAAAAAAAAGATATCCAGGGTAAACATATCTGCTGACATCAATCTCAATAGCAACAAGCAGTGAGCATTTAACACTGCTACTATTCATAGGCGCAGATGTTTTTACACAACATGTGCGCTACTCTGCTATAAAAATACTTTATACCACACTTCTAGGGACTATGCATGAAAACAGACACTACTACAAACAAACTACATCTCAGAAATTACTTCTGAGAAAAATCAAACTATGATAGTCTGTGTACACACATACACAAAAAAAATAGAACAGAAGCTCTGATATATATTGGGGTCTTTTTTTCCCCTCACCTCCAAGAACTTTTTCTGCTTTGCTGCCCTGGCTGCTTCACGCTGTGCAGCATATAAAGCCTCTTCTTCTATTCTTAACTTCTCCTCTTGTAAGGCTAACTGTATATGAACAAAATAATAAGGGTTAACAAAAGCAGAACCTAACTATCTTCCTATGAATAAAAATATAAGTTTACTAAAATAAAAGTTACTCATAAAAAGACAAACAAAAAGCAAACTACCATAAAACATATAGTTAGAAACTATTTTCTTGATCATTATTCTATCCAAGGTATTGTAAGTTTGCTAGTTTTTTCTTTCAAAGAACTAATAAACAGTGACTCACATCTACTAGTCTATTAAATAAAGGTTGTTACTGGGAAAATTGTTAGGTATTTTCCATTCCAAGGACAATATAAATTACAAAACTAGTTTTAAACATGAGATGTATTTGTATTAGTTTAAAAGATTTGTTTACCTGGAAGTGATTACTAATTTCCATACCATATCATTAATTTTAATGGCATACATGATGAAATTAGTTTATTAAAAAAAAAGTTTTTCCCTTCTCCACTAAACATGTATAAGACATTTCTACTTTCCAAAGGAAAAAAGCTGGAATAGTTTGAATTTAACAAAGGACTGTCTACTTTATTATATTTCATATTACATTAAGCAATAAAAGAATTAAGTGATCATCTTTAACACAAAGGTAACTGCACAGCTACAGAACCTTGCCAACAAAAAATCCTATTAATATATGTGTGAATAATTATTAAGTTCTTGCCAAGACTTAAAACTTGTTTTCCTTGATTTTAATAGGCCATTAATCAAATCTAGTAATCATAAATCTTTCAAATTATACAAACCATCACAACTATCTACCTCAGACTGAAGCTTCATATCAACTGTTCTCTGCTTTTCAGCAATAGAATCATAATGCCTGTCTCTCAGATCAGCAATTTCTTCCTCTGAGAGAGGTCTGAAAGGGGAGGAAAAAAAAACAATGCCACTCTTTAGTAAATTATTAGAGACTTAGAACTAATAAGATAAGCCAACTAAGTGGAAGTAAACAGACAATTCCAAATTGTTCAGCCAGTCTTCCAATCTGAAGTTCTAACTTGATTGGCCCTCTGTACAGGAGCAGGCTGAAAGTACAGTTCATATCTAAAACATAAGGTTTAAAGTTACAGGGCTTACCTAAACAGTTAATGTATGGCAAGTTGTGGTGTAAAATCTACCTAACATGAGCATGTCATGCACAAACTGTCACATGGACCCTGCTACTGTCCATTAAAAGTGCCCTATTAAAATGGGAGTAGATCAGAGCACACTAAGGAAATTAAGAGCCACACAGATAGTTAACGCACCGCAAAAAAGACTTACACAGAATGTCATGCATTAATTGTTCACATAGACAAGCCATCAGGGCATTGAAGACAACTCATTCTATTACCTCTTTCTCCCATGCTCCTGGGCATTACTATTTATTTCTACATATACAGGTATATTCCACAGAAAAACACATTTTGTTAAAGGCAAAGTTCATTCAAATGAATTCACACTTTACAAAAATTATATATCCCTTAAAAGTTAAAAAGCCTTAAAATTTGTCCCGTTTATATAATCTCTAATAGAAATAGTGGACATTTCTGATTACATATTATTTCATAAGTAGTAAAGAGTTCAAAAGGAAAGTAGTCCCAGTGTAACTCTGAAGTTACGTCAGAGTTCAAAATATTCTCTCAGATCAAAATGTCAGAGGAGTGTAACAAGGTTTTTATTAAAAGAATTAGAAAGGAGCATCTGATTCATATTATGAAGTGTTAATTATATGGAGTCCTAAAATTATGTAACCACATGTTCATCTTGTGGTATGTAGTAACTAAGCAACATAGTGTTTCACAGGGTGCATCTACACAGCATCTTTAACTCGAAATAAGCTATTCAATAGCTTATTTTGAAATTTGGCGCTGTTCAAAATAAGATGTAATTTCAAAATGTCCCTTAACTCTCATGCGATGAGGGTTACAGGGATGTTGGAATAGCAAGCCCGTTATATTTCGATACAACAGGCTTGCTCTTAAGACATGGAATAGCTATTTTGGGATACCAGAGATATCGTGGAATAGCTTCCGCAGTGTAGATGTAGCCACAGTGAGCAAGGCCCTACTGTTGAAGACAAGTTGTGTCAATTCAAAGCCTCTTGAAAGTGCAGGATCAAAGCCTAATGTTGTAGGATATATGAATGTTACATAATGTTCAATATGAATTCATGGAATAGGAAGATTGTATACTTTTAGTAATTTATTATTTTAATATTTGCATATACTTTTGCAAATTTTAGGGAACTAAGGTAAGAATGGGTGAGTGATACAAGACTGTAGGATTATATATCAGTGGAGAATTGACTACAATCTTGTTCATATCCAGGTTTTCCCCAAAAACTGATGGTGTGTTCGTCAAGAAAGTAACTTTTGTGGGGATGTTACAAGGGAACTTTTTTTAAAGAAATTACAGTATTGGTTCAAAAGGCCAGATAATTAACACAGCCAGACGAAGAAAAATGCAGACAAAGCTTCTGCACTATTTTATCTTTGTATGCCTATATACAGGCCAATTGTTTTAAACTTTACATCAGAAGCTTAAATAAAATAAATGTTTAATAAATTCAAACATCAGCAATCTTGTTGTATATTATACAGATCCATCTTCAGTTAATTTACTAAAATGCAATTAAATTTAAAAAATATTTTTATGCCTAATCATTGAAACACTTTTACAAAATATCTACATTGTGAACAAAGCTGAACACTTACGAAGAAACAAAAAAGCCAAGTGCCATGGACGAATGTTAAGGACTAGTCGCTTCGCTTCTCTCCCCCCCTCCTCTATCAAAGGCAGCAAAGGGGGCGGAGGGGAAGAGGAGAAAGGCAGTACCACGCGGCACTTCCACTTTGAATCGCCATGGCAGCATTTCAAAGGGGCAGCGCTGCACAGCTGATCCTGGGCTCCGTGCAACGCTGTCTTTTTGAAACGCGGAGGTAGTGTTTCAAAGTGACAGTGCCACACGGAGCCCGGGATCAGCTGGGGACTCCCTAGTTGACCCCAGGCTCCACACAGCATTTCCACCGAACCTGCGATCAGCTAGGAGTTCTAACTTTGAAATGCACAAGAGCCCCCACTGGGGGACTCTTGTACATTTCAAAGAAGGAATGTGGAAGCACCTATCCACTAGTTGATGGAAATTCCATCTACTACTCAACTAGTAAATTAATCGATATTTAGCATCCTTATTTTAAAGATGAATATTTTGAAGTTTAGAATAATACTTAAATTTCTTGAAGATTATTCTATTCTAGACTACTGGAAAAATTGTTGCTTTATTCTGATTTACTTAAATCTTTTGCATCAGCAGCTAACCTTACTTGGAGATTTTTAGGGATGTTTATTAAAATATTAAGACGCTTGCTCGGATCAGCCATCAGTGCCAAAGGTGCAAAGCTAAATACAAGTATGGGGTCAATGCAAACATTTTGAATGTTTATGTTGAATTTTAGGTACAATCTCCCCCTACCCAAAAACTGGGACCTTTCCCATTCCCACCCCACCCCTACCCACTGCTCCTGAAACCAGTCCAGGACCTCTCCCCACCACTTCTACAAAACTGGGACCACTCTCCAACCCTCTTTGTTATATTAGTAACTCCCACCTTCAAGCACGGAAACAGGAAGGATCAGTCCCGGGAAAGCTGCCTTAATTTCCTTTGCCAGACATGGTCCTGGACTTCCTTCCTGGGATGACCCTCCTTCCTCCTCTGCCACTGCCTCTCCAGCTTTTCCTTTCCCACAGACTGTGCAATGAGGCAAGCTCCAGTGACAGCAGAGTCTGAGGTGCTAGATTAAACACCCAACCCGTAGGCTGCCACAACCGCATAGAGTACTCTAAAGGACTATTACACAAGCAATAAAAAGTATGTGGCACACCTGTGGCAACTGATTTAGGTTTACGGATCTAAAAACGTATTGTGTATTTTTTGGGGCTAGGTCTGGAGCATGAGCTCCGCCACTCTCACACATTCAAAATCTTTTCTATTATCCTCACTGCACAGTCTACGTATGTGCCCCAAAGGCAGTAGAGAAGAATATCCTCTTATGTTCGTGGCACGTTTTATTGTGTTAATCAGATCTAACTGGTGGTGAGTGTTACACAAATACAAACTAGCAGATGTAAGGTGTGGATTCATCATTTCATTATTAATGTAAAGTCAGGTGGATTACAAAATGAGGGAGGGTTGTCATTATAATGGAGTTTAGACAATAGTAAAGTATTTTAAACTAAAATTTAAATTACCACTGAAAATATTAAAATCTTGTAAGTGCACAGTTATCCACTGAAGTTGGATAACTGTCTGGAACTACAATTCTCAGGCATCAGTTTAGTGAAAAATCAGCATGAGTTTTGCTGGGCACATTCTAGACCTGATGGAAGAGGACAGTTACTGAAGATCTTGAAACACAATGTCTTACCTCTGATTGCTTCCTGGGCTTTCTCCCTGTTAAACATAAAATCAACGTAATTGAGACCACATATTACATTTATATTTTAGAACACAAACTAATGAACCTACATTTATTAAGATATTCCAGACTTCCACATTCAAACGTTTTAAGATCAGAAACAATACCCAAATATATTAGAGACCCAACAGAATGAGCTGCATGTAACTCCTTTTCCATCACCTAAGTAACAGGCAGCTAGGCTGAGCCTGTCAGCACTGTGATAAAATGCTGGTACCCTGAGGAAGAAGGGTTTTTCTTGTACAGGCAGATTCCAAGGTAGGTCCTCTGTTAAATAACCCAACTTGTTTTGGCAATTAAAGAGCCTGCAAGATCTGGTTTCCTCACCAACTCTTTTCCCTTTCTTCATATTGCTGGCTATCACTTTTAAGTACATAAGCATAAAGAGAAGGCTGATTAGCCTAACTCTTATTGCCATCCTTTGATCTTTGTCTAGAAGTACAATCTGAGCAACTGTGGTAGTATCTGTGAATGAAGAAAGCTCTAAGATTGATGCCTGAAAAACTTGAGATTCCTGAAGACCTCATGGTGAAGATTCCATGCTTTCTAGTGTGTCCACTTAGCTAGCGTTCCCTTACATCACCCTTCTCCCAAATGTGAACCACTTTTGCTGGACAATTTTCACCTTGGCTGAAAAACACATTCCTTTGGTTGTGAGGGATGGAGAGGTGAAGTGGGATTGCAAAGGGAAGTGAAGGATTATTGTTGTGGGAATTATGAAAAGAACTGAATGTTTTATATAAATCTCTAGAGATATCCCATATAACTGGAAACAGTAGGAATCACTAGCTAACTAATTTTTGTGTAAAACAAATGTTACTCGTAAGAATTGAGTGCTGGCAGTCCAGCATATTTTTAACATAAAGAACCAGAGTTGGGTACCTGAACTATTATAAGTTCTAACTTGATTTGGTAGAAGCACTGGAGTCAGTATTTTTAGCCTCATCTAGGAATGTGAAGGTTGGAATTATTCTCTGGTAACGTCCCCATTTTATTTCTGAAGCTTAACACAAGGAGGTAGTTCACTAATACTACAGGGAGTTGCTTTCAGTTCATCCTTTATTGCAAGTTAGGGTTTCAAAAGGGAATTTCTGTGTCAACAAGCCTCTTTTCCTAACTTCCTGGCAATTAAAACAAAATGCATTTTTGAGGTACTTTTATAGAACTTCTTGTGGAACTGGAGACAACTGGACTCCGTGCATGTGACCCATAATGCATTCAAAGACATGCTGTCAATTGGCACGAGAATGAAATTATTGCATACACGGTATGCATACTAGACTTGCTCTGCCAGTTTTTGCTATCAATAATGAACTTATTTAAATTTTGGTACTATAAAATTTGAACAGTAACCCTTATTGGTCTGTTTTGCACCTTCAATAAAAAGATTTGAATCCCTTGTGGTTCAAATGTCCGTATGTAAACAGTTATCTACAAAGTGTGGGATTATAATGGATACTAGCACAGTTCAAGTATGCTGAGGCAATGGGTAAAAAGTGGCATTTTCAGCCACTTGTGAAGTGCAAATAGTTCTGTGACTGTTGTGGATAAGTGTCCTTGCACAACTTTCATAGTCTATTTACAACACTGGTGACACGTGTCAGCCAGTGGCTTCCCCTGAACAGCTCACCAGTTTTCTCAAAAAGAAATGCCTCTGGAAAGCTCAGTGTTCTTTCTTTTCTTGTCACTGTTTTTTAAAAAGGACCTTTCTAAAATTAACTAAATATGTCTTTAATTGTCTCTTAGGGCTAGTAGCCCTAGAACTTAGCAAAACTTGTACACCATTTTGAATGGAGCAAATCTCTCTCCGGAGGCACTACAGCAGGCCTGGGCAAAATACAGCCCACAGGCTGGATCCAGCCCACCAAGCCACCACATCCAGCCCTCAGTGGCAGTGGGAGCCCCAAGCAGGCCCTCCAGCCCCGTGCTGAAAGGCTGCTGCAGGGCTCCATTTCTGTTTTAAAACTGGAGGGGAGGGGGGAAGATTTAGGAGCTGCCCCACCCTCAGCACATTCCCACTGGTCAGTTTCTGGCAGAAACCAGACAATGGGAGCTGCTTGTTGGAATAACAGACAGTTAAGAAGAATCACACCCCTTCTCCTAGGTTCAGTTATTCATGAAGCACATGGCCAGGCAGGCAGGCTGGGAAACATTTTAAGCTCGACAGGCAGACAGGCTAGTTTGGCAAGTAAGTCTATTGGTGACAGCCTCCTTCTGGCACCACAGCCCTTTCTTGCCCCAACTATCTAACAGCCATACCCCCTCCCAGATTTGGCACTCTAATCTCCTGCCCCAGATCACAATCCCCTCCTACCCTAGGTTACATTCCAAATCCCAATACTCCAGTCTCCTGCCCTAGGTCACAACCACCTGCTTCATCTCAGCTCCCTCCAGTCTCCCTCCTGCACCCCAGTCCCTTACCCCAAGCTCTCTTCTGCACCCAACTCCATTCCAGACCCCTCATCTCCATTAATATCATGGAAGAGTGCAGCTCTCAACTACTTTCCAAAATGTTGAAGTGGCCCCCCATCAAAAATTATTGCCCACCCCTGCACTAGAGTGATTTGTTTCACAATTCAATCTCAGTGAAGGTGTTATGGTGGACAAACAGCAAAGGAAAAAGCCACACACAGAGAGAAAAACTGGCTTCTGACGTAATTCTTCCCCAGTGAAATTCCAGAAATGTGTGCATTTTAGTGACCAAGGGCAAGTCTACACTTAAAAAGCTGCTGCTGTAGAGCTCTAATGCAGACACCACTCTACCAATGGAATAGCTTCTCCCATCGACAGAGTTTATCCACATCAGCAAGCAGCAGTACCTAATGATGGAAGAAGTTCTTCTATGGACAGCACTGTCTATACTGAAGATTAGGTCAGTATAACTGAGCTGCTCAGGAGTGCAGATTTTTCACATCCCTGACTGAAGCAATCATACCAAAGAAAGTTTATAGTGAAAACCAGACCTGAAAGGAAGACCCAGTTGTCTTCTTCTCCCTGGCAAACACTGAATGAGCTAAACATATCACTGATACGGTTGGTATGGAGTGGACGTTTCACCCAAAGGCATTAGGTTTGAACCAGAAAGGAATATGATTATGTGCAAGTTGTCTGGCTGTGCAACATACAGGGGTAAGGCCAATTCAAGTGTCATGCAGTCACCTCACCCCTGTGTATGAATGAAGTGGCTCAAGAGACACATCATTCAAAATGATCAAAACAGGCCTCATCACTTCACTTCCAAACAAGCACACGCTGGTAATAATGAATAACATATTGGCCAGTCATGTCAAACACACCCAAAGGTCACTGGGTCCAAAATGCTCGAGGGAAATTAGTATTAGTTACTACTATCTTAGAGGAGGAAAATCAAGCCCCAGCAGAGTTAAAGAAATACCAACTCCTCTATGAAGAGATCAACATGCAAGTTAGCTGCAGCCAGAAGAATGAGCAAGATGTGGCTCCTGGGATTACAAATACATTTTCACAAATGTAAAAGTGTGTTGAATTACCACGCACTATACTGTGAAACCCAAGTACTTACCTCATCACTTTCCACTAGATTCTCAAACTGCAAAGATAAGTAACAAGCAGTCATTGCAATAGAAACATCACACTACAATGAACACAAATAAAAATCAGCATAATTACAACTTATTTATCTATTAGGCATGTTTTGTGGAAATACTGTTACAATTAAAATAACTGAAGATAATATTCAATTATCAAATGCTCTCCTTTGTGAAGAGCTATTAATTTTGGAGTATGACTAGCTTCTCTATAATTTACAAGCAATGTTTGTTTTATTCTACACAGAATGTAATGATTATCAAGCTAAGAGTTAGAATTAGGGATGCAAACTGGCAGTTAAAAAGTTAACTGGTTAAATACATCATAGAAGGCAACTCTGGCCAGGCTTTGGAGAGCTGTACCATAACTCCTGAACAACAGAAGTGGTAGGGTAACTGCTATTTCATTATTTACTTTCTTCTTTAATCTGGCATAGTGTTAAAGAGCCATTTTGTACAAACAATGATCAGAGCCAGAAAGTCTGGTTAGGGTGTAACTTTAAAAAAAAAAAAAATGTTTTCAAGGCTTGGGGGGAAGGGGGGATGGGACGGAAGGGGAGGAATACTTACCTCTATAGTGAAGTGTTCTCCAGTAGAACATGTTCTAAAATACTTTGATCTAGAAAATAAACCCATAATTTCACTGCAGGTTAGTAGTTCTACAATATCTTTTCAAAATATTTTAAAAATTGTATTTGACAGAATGAAACAAGGTGTGATAGTTACATTAGTATCATTTTATAAGCAGTTCAAAAGCAAAACATGCCCAAAAGCCATTTTGAGTTAATTTTAATGTTAATGTTTAAGCCAATGTATTACCTTCATTATTAATAATTATATTAACGGATGCACTGTATTATAAAGGAGACAAAATTGGACTATGAAATATACTTGTGTGAAGAGGTAAACTTTTTTTTTCAAAGTGGAAGTTACACAGAGAATTACTTATTCACTGGGAAAGTTTATGTATCATGATTTTAAGCATGTTGCATTTCCTACCATTGAGCTTTTTTATTACTGAACGGTGTTAACCAGTTCTAGCACACTTTATGACTTCCTTCAAGACAGATCTTTCTGACTAGCCTCTGAACTCATTGCTGATGGTATGACTCATTATGCCTGCTAGCAGTGTTCTATGTAACAAATGCTTGTCATTCTTTGACAGTTTACTGATGTAGCTGGGGGACTAACCTATTATATTCCTTGTTTCTGCAGAAAGATTACTGATTTATCCAAGAAGGCATCAAGAAACAAGGAAATAAAGGAGCACCATCTGACTTGCCTGTTCTCCAGGGACCACAGTTTTGGAACCAAATTACATTGTTCAATTTTATATGAAGATAAGCGGAATTTACAGCAGCGATTATGAAATACTTTGAGAGCTTTGTATATAAATGCACTAGAGTGCAAAGTAAAAAAATATATATATATATTTCAATTAGCCTGAACATTTACAAGGGATCTCTCTAATTTTACAGTTCAAAGACTTTACTGCATACAATGAAGGTAAAGCATTAATTTCTTTTCAAAGTAAGTTAATAATTCAAAGCATCAGATTCCGTAAGTATGCATCTCTGCACATTAAGAGTATGGTTTAAAACTTGAGATTTGCACAAATTTTATCAGTAAAATTCACTTTACAAGGCATTTACTGCAGAGGTCTTTAGAATTCCTTAATCCTCTCAACCATAATATTCTCTCCCCACCAGATTTGTGAAACATTTACAAACAAACACCATTACAATAAAGTGATACTACTGGCAAGCAAGTAGATCAATCTGTATTTGCTAGTTAGGCAGATATACATGTGTAAAGGCCTAAAATCGATCCCTCCACATAACATGGCAACTGCAAGATTTAAGATAAGTCATCATACATTGAAATAAAAGCAAGTTTCCAGGAATTCAGAAGCCTGTTTTCCTTACTATTTTATTTTTTTCAATTTCTCATTTACTAACTTTTCTCAAGCCCCTCACTTCTTGCTTTGATATATGACTTGGCAGATAAATATCTCAAAGAATGATCAATGATGGGCATTACATTTTAGCAGTATCCTTCAAAGTATTTAGCAGTAAAGCTATCCCACTAATTGTACCAAAGCAGAAGTAGGACTGAACTCACATGAGTAACATTGGCACAGTCCCAGTACAAAGTATGAACAGCTGACTCAAGCTTTAGCTTAGAGAGCAGTATCCTTCAAAGTATTTTTACATAATTTGTGCTGGAGTTACTGGAGTCTCTCAGCTACCCCTAGGAATGACAGGAGGCTCTCCCTATGTTTCTTTATCACTAAGAATGACGTCTGACACTGGTGGACATTATGACAGATTAAGACAACCAATGCTATTAATAGGATTGTTAGTCTTCAATTTTGTTCTGCCATGCTAACAGTTTGAAGCACCACAGAGCCCTTTTTCGCATGCCAGAACTGAAAGAAACCAATGTAAAAAGGTACTCATGTCACAAAGAAAGTAACTGCCCAATAGCCAAAGAAGGTGCTGAGTCAGAAACTTAGCCTGAGTTAGGATCTGGCCCACAGATGCTCTGCCGCTCCCCCAGATCCAGGCCAATCAGGGCCCAGGAGGGAAGCATGCAAAGTCTCCTCCCACCCTCCAAGGGGCACTGGAGTCAACCCTGGAAGTTGACTGAGCACCATACACCTTTTGCAGGATGGGGGCTGGGCAGGAGGAGACTTCTTGTGCTTCACCCATCCCAGGCCCTGATTGACCTGGGGGTAAGGGGAGTGTGAGAAGTCTCCTCCCACCACCAGGGGCAGAGGTGCCGAGAGGGAACTGTTAGCTGTTCAGAATAGCTGGCAGTTCTCTCTGGAGAGGGTGGGGACCAAGACTTCACGAGCTCCCCCACCCCCAGGTCAATCATGGTCTGTGGGTGGGGAAGCACAGAAGTGTCCTGGCCTCACCCCCACTGGGGCAGCCCAGGGCCACTTAAACTTCTGAAGTGTCCCCCCCCCATCTAAAATTATTGCACACCCCTGGTTTAAGGGCTACAATGCCTATGTCTACACAACCATTTATGGCAGTACAACTTATGTGCTCAGGTGTGACATAAGTTTTTCCAAACAAACAAAAAAAAAATGCTTTCCATTACTGGTGCTTATGTCGGGATGAGAGCTTGTTTCGCCAACAGAGCTACCATGGCTCATTGAGGGTGGATTAATGATAATGACAGGACAGCTCACTATCACTGGCATAGAGCAGCTACACTGAAGATCTTGCAGCAGCAAAGCTGCATCAGTACAGTTATGCCACAGTAAGCTCTCTGGTGTAGCTCTAGCTAATTTATTTTCAGCACATTGTTGCCTGTGTGACAACTTGATGATCAGCAACCTTTTCCCCAAGTCTTGGGCAAGAGGCTCCAAACTGCACAGAAAAGAAAAAGAAAAGTGCGCCAGAACAGGTTCCAAAGAACTGAGGAAACAGAAATGAGTTAACCAAAAAAAGCACAGTGAAGGGCCCAAAGCAACCAAGGAAAGACCTCAAAGATGTAGCAACCATAATGGAACTGAAAGTAAAATTAAGATATGGTAAAGGATAGCCAGCAAATATTGCTGGAATCCAGGCATTCTTGTGTCACCTCAGTCACAACCTTCAAGGAACCAAAGTTAAGAAAGAACTGACTGCAAAATTCAGAGAGCAGTATTTAGACTTGCAAGGATGTGGTACATAGCTATCAGAATCTAACCCTTTGCCTTCATGAATCAAAACAGTTTAAGAGCCAAGAGCATTTTACCTCTCCTGCACCAACTTATGATTTGGTAGTAAGAATCCTGAAGAGATGGTACCTTTAAAACATTACTAAAGATCAGTGTTCCTTGTAAACTGAGCATTTGGGTGGCCACCAACTGAACATTTGGCACCTTAATTTCATCCTAAAAAAGTTATCAGAAAAGTAGTCCACAATTCTGCAAGGAAGGCAAGCATGCAGAGCAGGATGAGTGGGGAAGTAGAGAGGTCCATTATTACAAAGTAAGCACAAACAGCCTTTACTTTAAATTAAAAGTTGGCTTCTATCCCTTTCAATCTATAACTTCCTGGAAAAAACATCTTGCTAGACTGAAAGCTTTCATGTTGGCTATCAGCAGAGTGGTGATTATTTTTTATCTTTGCGCAACATATTTTTCTAACTATATTAAAGACAAATACTTAATACACTTTAATAGATATTTTACAAAGCCTTTACTTCATTCACTGCATTTAGATTTTTGCAGATTAGTCCTTTCCTGCCCCAACTCTCTTCCCCCACCCCAGTCAACATACCCAAACCCTCTGTCCCCCTGTAACAGCCATACCCCCTCCCAGATTTGGCACTCTAATCTCCTGCCCCAGATCACAATCCCCTCCTACCCTAGGTTACATTCCAAATCCCAATACTCCAGTCTCCTGCCCTAGGTCACAACCGCCTGCTTCATCCCAACTCCCTCGCTCCCTCCAGTCTCCCTCCTGCACCCCAGTCCCTTACCCCAAGCTCTCTTCTGCACCCAACTCCATTCCAGACCCCTCATCTCCATTAATATCATGGAAGAGTGCAGCTCTCAACTACTTTCCAAAATGTTGAAGTGGCCCCCCATCAAAAATTATTGCCCACCCCTGCACTAGAGTGATTTGTTTCACAATTCAATCTCAGTGAAGGTGTTATGGTGGACAAACAGCAAAGGAAAAAGCCACACACAGAGAGAAAAACTGGCTTCTGACGTAATTCTTCCCCAGTGAAATTCCAGAAATGTGTGCATTTTAGTGACCAAGGGCAAGTCTACACTTAAAAAGCTGCTGCTGTAGAGCTCTAATGCAGACACCACTCTACCAATGGAATAGCTTCTCCCATCGACAGAGTTTATCCACATCAGCAAGCAGCAGTACCTAATGATGGAAGAAGTTCTTCTATGGACAGCACTGTCTATACTGAAGATTAGGTCAGTATAACTGAGCTGCTCAGGAGTGCAGATTTTTCACATCCCTGACTGAAGCAATCATACCAAAGAAAGTTTATAGTGAAAACCAGACCTGAAAGGAAGACCCAGTTGTCTTCTTCTCCCTGGCAAACACTGAATGAGCTAAACATATCACTGATACGGTTGGTATGGAGTGGACGTTTCACCCAAAGGCATTAGGTTTGAACCAGAAAGGAATATGATTATGTGCAAGTTGTCTGGCTGTGCAACATACAGGGGTAAGGCCAATTCAAGTGTCATGCAGTCACCTCACCCCTGTGTATGAATGAAGTGGCTCAAGAGACACATCATTCAAAATGATCAAAACAGGCCTCATCACTTCACTTCCAAACAAGCACACGCTGGTAATAATGAATAACATATTGGCCAGTCATGTCAAACACACCCAAAGGTCACTGGGTCCAAAATGCTCGAGGGAAATTAGTATTAGTTACTACTATCTTAGAGGAGGAAAATCAAGCCCCAGCAGAGTTAAAGAAATACCAACTCCTCTATGAAGAGATCAACATGCAAGTTAGCTGCAGCCAGAAGAATGAGCAAGATGTGGCTCCTGGGATTACAAATACATTTTCACAAATGTAAAAGTGTGTTGAATTACCACGCACTATACTGTGAAACCCAAGTACTTACCTCATCACTTTCCACTAGATTCTCAAACTGCAAAGATAAGTAACAAGCAGTCATTGCAATAGAAACATCACACTACAATGAACACAAATAAAAATCAGCATAATTACAACTTATTTATCTATTAGGCATGTTTTGTGGAAATACTGTTACAATTAAAATAACTGAAGATAATATTCAATTATCAAATGCTCTCCTTTGTGAAGAGCTATTAATTTTGGAGTATGACTAGCTTCTCTATAATTTACAAGCAATGTTTGTTTTATTCTACACAGAATGTAATGATTATCAAGCTAAGAGTTAGAATTAGGGATGCAAACTGGCAGTTAAAAAGTTAACTGGTTAAATACATCATAGAAGGCAACTCTGGCCAGGCTTTGGAGAGCTGTACCATAACTCCTGAACAACAGAAGTGGTAGGGTAACTGCTATTTCATTATTTACTTTCTTCTTTAATCTGGCATAGTGTTAAAGAGCCATTTTGTACAAACAATGATCAGAGCCAGAAAGTCTGGTTAGGGTGTAACTTTAAAAAAAAAAAAAATGTTTTCAAGGCTTGGGGGGAAGGGGGGATGGGACGGAAGGGGAGGAATACTTACCTCTATAGTGAAGTGTTCTCCAGTAGAACATGTTCTAAAATACTTTGATCTAGAAAATAAACCCATAATTTCACTGCAGGTTAGTAGTTCTACAATATCTTTTCAAAATATTTTAAAAATTGTATTTGACAGAATGAAACAAGGTGTGATAGTTACATTAGTATCATTTTATAAGCAGTTCAAAAGCAAAACATGCCCAAAAGCCATTTTGAGTTAATTTTAATGTTAATGTTTAAGCCAATGTATTACCTTCATTATTAATAATTATATTAACGGATGCACTGTATTATAAAGGAGACAAAATTGGACTATGAAATATACTTGTGTGAAGAGGTAAACTTTTTTTTTCAAAGTGGAAGTTACACAGAGAATTACTTATTCACTGGGAAAGTTTATGTATCATGATTTTAAGCATGTTGCATTTCCTACCATTGAGCTTTTTTATTACTGAACGGTGTTAACCAGTTCTAGCACACTTTATGACTTCCTTCAAGACAGATCTTTCTGACTAGCCTCTGAACTCATTGCTGATGGTATGACTCATTATGCCTGCTAGCAGTGTTCTATGTAACAAATGCTTGTCATTCTTTGACAGTTTACTGATGTAGCTGGGGGACTAACCTATTATATTCCTTGTTTCTGCAGAAAGATTACTGATTTATCCAAGAAGGCATCAAGAAACAAGGAAATAAAGGAGCACCATCTGACTTGCCTGTTCTCCAGGGACCACAGTTTTGGAACCAAATTACATTGTTCAATTTTATATGAAGATAAGCGGAATTTACAGCAGCGATTATGAAATACTTTGAGAGCTTTGTATATAAATGCACTAGAGTGCAAAGTAAAAAAATATATATATATATTTCAATTAGCCTGAACATTTACAAGGGATCTCTCTAATTTTACAGTTCAAAGACTTTACTGCATACAATGAAGGTAAAGCATTAATTTCTTTTCAAAGTAAGTTAATAATTCAAAGCATCAGATTCCGTAAGTATGCATCTCTGCACATTAAGAGTATGGTTTAAAACTTGAGATTTGCACAAATTTTATCAGTAAAATTCACTTTACAAGGCATTTACTGCAGAGGTCTTTAGAATTCCTTAATCCTCTCAACCATAATATTCTCTCCCCACCAGATTTGTGAAACATTTACAAACAAACACCATTACAATAAAGTGATACTACTGGCAAGCAAGTAGATCAATCTGTATTTGCTAGTTAGGCAGATATACATGTGTAAAGGCCTAAAATCGATCCCTCCACATAACATGGCAACTGCAAGATTTAAGATAAGTCATCATACATTGAAATAAAAGCAAGTTTCCAGGAATTCAGAAGCCTGTTTTCCTTACTATTTTATTTTTTTCAATTTCTCATTTACTAACTTTTCTCAAGCCCCTCACTTCTTGCTTTGATATATGACTTGGCAGATAAATATCTCAAAGAATGATCAATGATGGGCATTACATTTTAGCAGTATCCTTCAAAGTATTTAGCAGTAAAGCTATCCCACTAATTGTACCAAAGCAGAAGTAGGACTGAACTCACATGAGTAACATTGGCACAGTCCCAGTACAAAGTATGAACAGCTGACTCAAGCTTTAGCTTAGAGAGCAGTATCCTTCAAAGTATTTTTACATAATTTGTGCTGGAGTTACTGGAGTCTCTCAGCTACCCCTAGGAATGACAGGAGGCTCTCCCTATGTTTCTTTATCACTAAGAATGACGTCTGACACTGGTGGACATTATGACAGATTAAGACAACCAATGCTATTAATAGGATTGTTAGTCTTCAATTTTGTTCTGCCATGCTAACAGTTTGAAGCACCACAGAGCCCTTTTTCGCATGCCAGAACTGAAAGAAACCAATGTAAAAAGGTACTCATGTCACAAAGAAAGTAACTGCCCAATAGCCAAAGAAGGTGCTGAGTCAGAAACTTAGCCTGAGTTAGGATCTGGCCCACAGATGCTCTGCCGCTCCCCCAGATCCAGGCCAATCAGGGCCCAGGAGGGAAGCATGCAAAGTCTCCTCCCACCCTCCAAGGGGCACTGGAGTCAACCCTGGAAGTTGACTGAGCACCATACACCTTTTGCAGGATGGGGGCTGGGCAGGAGGAGACTTCTTGTGCTTCACCCATCCCAGGCCCTGATTGACCTGGGGGTAAGGGGAGTGTGAGAAGTCTCCTCCCACCACCAGGGGCAGAGGTGCCGAGAGGGAACTGTTAGCTGTTCAGAATAGCTGGCAGTTCTCTCTGGAGAGGGTGGGGACCAAGACTTCACGAGCTCCCCCACCCCCAGGTCAATCATGGTCTGTGGGTGGGGAAGCACAGAAGTGTCCTGGCCTCACCCCCACTGGGGCAGCCCAGGGCCACTTAAACTTCTGAAGTGTCCCCCCCCCATCTAAAATTATTGCACACCCCTGGTTTAAGGGCTACAATGCCTATGTCTACACAACCATTTATGGCAGTACAACTTATGTGCTCAGGTGTGACATAAGTTTTTCCAAACAAACAAAAAAAAAATGCTTTCCATTACTGGTGCTTATGTCGGGATGAGAGCTTGTTTCGCCAACAGAGCTACCATGGCTCATTGAGGGTGGATTAATGATAATGACAGGACAGCTCACTATCACTGGCATAGAGCAGCTACACTGAAGATCTTGCAGCAGCAAAGCTGCATCAGTACAGTTATGCCACAGTAAGCTCTCTGGTGTAGCTCTAGCTAATTTATTTTCAGCACATTGTTGCCTGTGTGACAACTTGATGATCAGCAACCTTTTCCCCAAGTCTTGGGCAAGAGGCTCCAAACTGCACAGAAAAGAAAAAGAAAAGTGCGCCAGAACAGGTTCCAAAGAACTGAGGAAACAGAAATGAGTTAACCAAAAAAAGCACAGTGAAGGGCCCAAAGCAACCAAGGAAAGACCTCAAAGATGTAGCAACCATAATGGAACTGAAAGTAAAATTAAGATATGGTAAAGGATAGCCAGCAAATATTGCTGGAATCCAGGCATTCTTGTGTCACCTCAGTCACAACCTTCAAGGAACCAAAGTTAAGAAAGAACTGACTGCAAAATTCAGAGAGCAGTATTTAGACTTGCAAGGATGTGGTACATAGCTATCAGAATCTAACCCTTTGCCTTCATGAATCAAAACAGTTTAAGAGCCAAGAGCATTTTACCTCTCCTGCACCAACTTATGATTTGGTAGTAAGAATCCTGAAGAGATGGTACCTTTAAAACATTACTAAAGATCAGTGTTCCTTGTAAACTGAGCATTTGGGTGGCCACCAACTGAACATTTGGCACCTTAATTTCATCCTAAAAAAGTTATCAGAAAAGTAGTCCACAATTCTGCAAGGAAGGCAAGCATGCAGAGCAGGATGAGTGGGGAAGTAGAGAGGTCCATTATTACAAAGTAAGCACAAACAGCCTTTACTTTAAATTAAAAGTTGGCTTCTATCCCTTTCAATCTATAACTTCCTGGAAAAAACATCTTGCTAGACTGAAAGCTTTCATGTTGGCTATCAGCAGAGTGGTGATTATTTTTTATCTTTGCGCAACATATTTTTCTAACTATATTAAAGACAAATACTTAATACACTTTAATAGATATTTTACAAAGCCTTTACTTCATTCACTGCATTTAGATTTTTGCAGATGCTAATTTATTCATTCTTGGCTTACATGGCACATATCAAGACCCCAAAAAGAACACACACTTTAATAGTTCATAAATAAACGTATTAAAAATAAAAGCACATTAAAATTTTTAATTAACCAAAAGCACAGTTCAGAATGTTGATGAAATTATAAAATGTTTAACTTTTAATCAAGTTAAAACTCCAAGTCCATTTCAAACTGCTGTATTTGGGTAAATGTGCGCATGTCCAACCTTTTCTTAAAAATTTTCAAGGATGGGGATTCCACAACTTCACTTGAAAGCACATGCTAAAAAATTCTTTAAGAAGAAATTTTTTTTAGCATCTATCTAAATCTCCCCAATTGCAGATTATACCCATTTTTCCTGTCCTACCTTCAGTGGACACGGAAAACAAATGATCATTATGCTCTTCATAACAGCCTGTAACATATCCAAAAGCTTATCAAATAGCCCCCCTCAGTCCCTTCTCTCAAAACTAAATAAGTTTTTTTTAAAAAAAAACCTTTCCTTATAACAGGTCAGCATTTCTAAACCTTTATCACTTTTGTTGCTGTCCTTTGGATTCTTTTCAATGTATTCACATATTTCGTAAGGTTGGCACCCAGAATTGGACACAGTATTCCAGTTAAAGGCCTCACCTGTGCAAAGTACAGAAGGATAATTGCTCCCATTTCTGACATACACGTCTGCTAACACTCTCCAAATACTCCCTCCTGGGGGCAGGGCGGCAGTCAGTGTGCTCCTAGCTCCACTCCTGGGGAGCCCCCTGCCACCCACACTGCTGCCTCTGTATCAGAGGCAGTAGCACAGGGTGGCAAGCAGAGCTAGTCCATGAGGGGAACTGGTATAAAAATTGGCTCCCCATGCAGACTGAGAGATGCTGAGCAA